AGAGGGCGGGAAGGGTATGAGGGGCAGAGGTGAGGGGTTGGGAGGGAGTGGTAGAGGTATGGGGGCGGGGACGAGGGGATGGGAGGGGTATGGGGGCGGGAGCGAGGGGGTGGGAGGGGTATGGGGACAGGGTAAGTGTGATCAGAATGTATGAAACTGTCAAATACATTTAAGAAAAAAATCCTCCTAATTTTAGCACTTCTGAAACGTGAACTGCCCTGGTTTATAAAAAGGACTCCAAACTCACGTTCTCAGGCCCATGCCATTTCTAATACTATCCTATGAAGAAAAACCTATAGTGATTTTTCCTGTGAGACGTTTTAAAATAAAACTGTTAAAAAAAACTTCCAGCAACTTTATGGCTGAAGTGCTGTTTCATCTCTCTCCAGTGTAACTGGGAGGGAGACAGTGTTCCTATATAGAGCAAATCTTACTTAGATCTGAGTCTGGGAACTTCATGGACGCCTTCTTGAAGTAAATCTGTAGGGTTGTCTGCCCTCTTGGCATTAAAAGTTAAAGCGTGGGTTGAACAAAATTGTTAAAACTCTAACACTAGGTATAACGTAAAAGTATTTTTTAGTGCAACTACAGGATACAGATGAGGACATTTTTGTTTCATTTGTGCCTACAGGTTTTAAAGGCCCTATCCTACAAAGTAGTACTTCGAGTTGTAACTTATCCTCTTTAATCAAAGATGACAGCGATAGTCGTATTTCCTGTAGGGACGGGCGTGGTTGAAGGGACACTTACGTCCATGCCATCAATCTGTGTGCGGAAAAGTCTGCAGGTCGCCTGTCGCCTGATTGATATTCGTGCTTACAGACATCACGGCCTATACTTCTGATTTTCGATGATGTGAAATAAAACCTCCGACACGCAATCGAGTCGTGTCGTGTGTGTTTTTTTTTCTTTTTCTTCATTGCTTCACATTCGGGGGTGTTTCACCTTAGGGCAAAGCTCCCCAGGGGAACGAGAACGCCTTAGAGCGAGGCTGCAACTCCCAAGTCAGGAAACCGGGGTCACCATCCTCCAAACCCCGGATACTCGCCCCTTCCAGTCCCCAGGACCACGAAAAAGTGCAGCAACGACACGGGAAGGCTCCCCGCACGGTGCCGGGGAGCGAACTAGTTTGCGGGGCTCGGGAACGGCGGGTCTCCCTACTACCCGAGGGGCAGGGCGCGGTGGGTCACCGCAGCCGAGTGATTCCAACTTGGCCTCAACAAGGACCGCGGAACTTGGCCGCCGCCGGCGCCGCCGGCCGCCCGCCCGCCCGCCGAGCGCCGCCCCGACTTCCCGCCTAGCAGCGGCCGCCGCCCAGCCCGGCGCGGGTCCGAGTCCCGCCACCGTCGCCACCGTCGCCACGGCCGCCGCCGCGTGCGGTGGGGGAGGGGCCGCGCCACCTCAGCCCGACGGGTCGGGAGAACAAAGCGGCGGCGGCGCGAACTTTTTTCGGTGTCTGCTCCGCGCTCCCTCAGGCGACTACTTACAGAAGCGGGTTCGGTCGCTTTGGAGAGAGTCGGCGCGCGCCAGCGTCCGCGTCCCCGTCCCGGAGCGGGAGCTCAGCGAGGCTTCACGGACCTCGCACGGTCCCGCCCGCCCGCCGCCCGCCGCCCGCCGCCCGCGCGCCCCTTCCTCCCGCCCTCCCTCCCCGTCCCGTCTCCAGGCCGGAGGGCGGGGGGCCGGGGCGCGCGGGCGGGGGCGCGCGGCCCGCGCGGGGCCTGCCGGGAGCTGTAGTTCCCCGCTGTGCGCCGTGGAGGGTCTGGCTCCCCCGGGGAAGAAGGGACGGAGGGGGACGCCACGAAGCTCTGAGTCCCTGTGAAGTTCCCCGCGGGATGGCGAGCGCGGAGCAGCGGGCCGTGAGAGTCTCGAGTGACGCGCTGGATTCGAACCCTCACTTTGCTATCCGCTAGGCAGGCGATGGCGATCGGGGGCAAGAGGGGACCGCCTGAGTGCGGTGTCCAGCGTGGAGGACCGTGTCCATCCTCCGTGCTGTCTCACTGTCCTCCAAAGTTCTTCCTCCTGCGTTCCCGGTGGCCGTTGTCACTGAGCGACACAGCCAGAGCCCTTCGCCTTCACCTGCGGCACAGTAAAACTGGAGACGCTGCTTGCACGCAAGTGCCTTGTGTTTCCTCTTGTTCATCTTTACACTGCATGTGGCCCACCAAAAGTTCAGTCGACAGTCACAGAACCTAGACTTCCACCTGCGTGAAAGTGAACGTAGGGCAAGTGGGGGACCCGGGTGGCAGCCACATAAAGATCAGAGGGGAGAAGACCCTGTGCGTTAAATTATAAATACTTGATGCGAGAGAAACATCTGTGCAGTTGACAGTCATTGTCACAAAAGCTACCTAGTTTGCCCACGTTGACGTTTTATCCCTTCCAAGTAAAATATATTGTTACAGTTGGAGGGGGTAAAGTTAGCGTATCTGGATGCAAAATGCCGGGGCTGGGCAGCTTTTGAGAACAGAGGGAGAATAAACCCAAGAGGACCGCCAATTGTGCTACACAATCAGCAATATTAATGGATAGTCCTGGATTTGAAGTTAACTGAGACGTTTTCCTCCCCTGGGATAGAAGTGGAGACTGAACCCACTGCTGACACCCATAAGGCCAGCAATGAGCTAAAGTACTGACTGTGCTACTAGCTACATCCCCATCCCTCTTAGGCGGCGAGATGTTTAAAATAAAAATGTGTATAATGCTCTTCTCCTGGGGGACAAAGTGTGGGAGCACGTTTCTGACGTCGCTCTGGAACTGGAAGCTGCCAACATCCACCAGCACCTAAATCAGTCTGATTACATCTTTGAACTTAAAGCTTCACTCAAACTCACGCAAGCATCTCTATTTAAACTCATTGGGGCGCAAAGAGACATGAAAGGCCCCAGTTCAGAAGAAGAAAGGGTTCAAATGAGGAGGTGATGAGATGTGATACGATCAAAATGTGTGTGTGTGTGTGTGTGTGCGCTCGTGTAAGTGTTTAAAGATGTTCTGCTGTTCTCTTCCTTTAAGATGAAAAGCAGATTCATTCAAGGGTACCTTCTTTTTAAGCGTTCCCTTGCCCATCTGTGCCCTTTTCTCTTTCCACTTCCCAACAGATGCTTTAGTCTAGCCGGGGAAAATCTTCTCCCAGCAAGATTCCCAGAATCTCATTGGAGCAGTTTGCACCCAGTTTCATCACACTCTTGACTTCCACGTTCTGTTGTGGTCCTTAAAGAAACAGTTACTTTCCGCGGGAGTAACTTTCTCCAAGAATTAAACTGCTGCTCTGTGGAGACCGAAGTGTTTATGTGAAAACATGTACTTTACATAGAAATATTTCATTGAGCTGCAGTCTCGCCGTTTTGCTTCTTAATTGCTTTCTCTAGTTAAGTCTTTCAACAGGTCGTTTGAGGCTAAGACTGACTTTGTACCTGAATGTTAAAGACGTCTCAGTAATTGTTTTTGTTTGTTTGTTTGTTTTTAAAAAAAATGAAACAAGGAGCTTGTAATCTTCTCCTTCTTTGGCTAGATCTGTAAATCCTCATGTCCTTAATGACAGAATCTTTTACACCTCTCATCTAATTCAGAGGGTCAGCATGGCTGTGACTGCTTTAAAATCTTAAATGCAGAAAAACACTATTTGCTGAGGACCCACTAGAGGGAGTTGTCATTAAAACAAAAACAAAACCCACTTCACTTGGGTTTAATTTATGGACTGTGGGTTACTGAAAACTCACTTTGTGTTTGTGTCTTTTTTCCATGACCTTAGAACACAACTGAGAAATTTGTGCACCACTCAAGTGTCACCGGAGAGTTAGTAAAATGATTATGGGGGAAGGGTGCTGTGGACTCTTCATCAGCGGGGACACCCTAGTTACAATCTCACAGCGTCCCGCCTGATTCTGTCAGTTACCGTAGCCACAATTTCAGTCTAGGTTACTCTAATAGACTTTTAATTGGTCTCTCCTAGACTAGCTCGAACTGTTACATTCTTGGTAACACATTCATGATGGTTCCATCTGTCATCATCTCTGTTTTGCAAGCTGTAATTATCCTGTATTCGGATCACTCTTAATAGACAACTCTTGGGTCACTTACCATACTTTTTTGTGTCTTCACTTTGAACAGAGCCTCCTGGGTTCTCTCTGCCCTGTCCTCTCCTGAACTTGTGGGAAAACATCTCTTATTTTTATTCATTCATTACCTAGCACAAGGTCTTGTAAATTTTTTGTTTGTTTGTTTTTGAGACGGGGTCTTTCTACATAGCTCTGGCTGTCCTGGAACTCACTATGTAGACCAGGCCCCAAACTCAGAAATCCACCTGCCTCTTTTGGTATTAGATCTGAACCAGTTCCAAGGGCTTAGTAATTTTGTATTGAATTGTCAAACTTTTTTCATTGTCATGATTTGGTTAACTAATAGTCCTAAAATATCACATGATAAACTCCTCAACAGTTCCCTACTGTCCTCTAACCAGGTCCAAATTAATACAGCCCTGACTCAGATATAGTCATTCTTTGTATAGAAAACATTTTTGTTTATCCTACATAGCCTCTTTATTTCCATTATTTATTAGCTTTATATGTGTCTTCACTTAATTTTTATATAACATTGATATATAATGTATATATTTAGAAGAGCATTTAGTAAAAAAAGATGATCATTTGACAGAGGAAGACTAAGAAATTTAATAACTGAAGAGAGATAATCACATACGTTTCACCTAGGTTCTCTATTGTTTTCTTACTGATCAATACTTAGATAATTGGAAAAAAAATTTGTCCACCCCAGTGATTTCTGGTTTTAAACCAGAGTCTTTTTTTTTTTAAAGATTTATTTATTTATTATGTATACAGTATTCTCAGTACTCTGCCTGCAGGCCAGAAGAGGGCACAGATCTCATTACAGATGGTTGTGAGCCACCATGTGGTTGCTGGGAAGTGAACTCAGGACCTTTGGAAGAGCAGGCGGTGCTCTTAACCACTGAGCCATCTCTCCAGCCCTAAACCAGAGTCTTAAATTAAACCTCAGTACTCTACAGCCTGAGGGAACTTGATGTTAAATCCATTTTTAAGGAATTCATAAGCATTTACACATTATCTTCTCTTTCTTGGGGAAAACCACAAAGACAAACAGAAATCACTGGGGTGGACAAATTTTTTCCAATTATCTAAGTATTGATCAGTAAGAAAACAATAGAGAATCTGGTTTTGAAATAGTGTCAACTAACCGCTGGGCGGTGGTGGTGCACGCCTTTAATCCCAGCACTCGGGAGGCAGAGGCAGGCGGATCTCTGTGAGTTCGAGACCAGCCTGGTCTACAAGAGCTAGTTCCAGGACAGGCTCCAAAACCACAGAGAAACCCTGTCTCGAAAANAGAAATAGTGTCAACTAACTATAGCCCAAAAGTCAACAGAAAAGAAGAAAGGTCTTACAGACATCACTACATCTGGGTTGACAAAAACAAAGACACCTGGGCTCTTTCACCACACGGAAATAACTTGGAATTTGCTAATTAGAAAAAAGGAGCTGGCACCTTAGGAGACCTGGATGGAGGTGGGTGGTCCTTGGACTTCCCACAGGGCAGAGAACCCTGATTGCTCTTTGGGCTGATGAGGGAGGGGGACTTGATTGGGGGAGGGGGAGGGAAAGGGGAGGCAGCGGTGGGGAAGAGACAGAAATCTTAAATAAATTAAAAAAAAAGAAAAGAAAAAAGGAGCTGGGGCGAGACTTTGCATGGCAGTCTAAGCTCTACCATTTGGGGACTTGGTGCTCTTTAATCTCATGAAGAATTAATCTTGCCCCAAAATGAGGGGGTAATAATTTTATACATCATAGGATTTTTGTGAGAACTTGGCTGAAGAAAGCAGTGCACATGTGATTAGTTTGCCTTGTTATGTATCCCACAACCACGTGGCTGTCTACCATGATTGTTGTCTCTACCCTATAAGTTGTCACGAGGATTAATCATATTAATGCACAGAAAGCATATTTTATTGGCCAGCTCTCAGAAAATGTGCAATAAGTATTGCTTATGATTCCAGTATTATTCATGTTAAAGAGAAGATATATATGCGTATATATATATGATAAAGGATATCTATCTTTCAATATCTATGTCTATATCTCCTCAGAGAAACAAGTTGCTGAACTTGATTCTGTGGGTGTCAATTAAAAAGACAACAAACAGCTAAAACGGCACAGGAATCTGCCTGTAGAAGGACTTCCTTTCTGCTTCATGAGAGGAAATTCCTACTGCTATCCTCAAGTGACCAGAACTGTTGTTTTCTATGCTACTAGATGACAGTGTTTGGGTGTACTATAAAACCACTGAGTAGATAACTATTAAATCCATTGTTTTTTTTTAATTATAGTTACACTGCAGTGACTTGAATATTTTACTATAACTTATACCCTGACTATGACTCCTCAAATTTAAAAACTCCCAAGTGTCTCCAAACATGCTTCTGACTACATAACTCGATGTTAAACTGTCCTTTAATGTTGGTGGCTGACTTAGCTGAAGACAAGTTGATCTTAATTTAGCTTATTTGATTTTGTTCCCCTTGAGATTTTATACTCTTTGATTTATTGATTCACTGAACATTTTCAAGAACCACTTGTGCATCTCAAACATTTATAAAAGACA